AACTCTTACTTTATAAATTTTTTTGAATAATTTAATTTATTTTTTTAAAGAAAAAAAGAGAAGGGTTTGAAGTTTGAAAAAGATGGAATGGTCTAGAAAGGAAAAATGAGTTAGAGTTCCTCATTAAGTGATGTGCATGAGATGGGGTCCACTACTAAATTTGAAAAAGATTCTAAACTTGTAGCTTCTTCGACATTAAGAAAATATGATTCATACTTTGTCACCTATATAATTTTATTTTTCTATGATTGATTTTTTATTTTATTTTTAAAGTTTTAAATTTTGATTTTAAAAATTTAGAAGATTATATATTTTATAAAAATTCATAAATTAAATAAAAATAAAATGATAAATTAAATACGGAAGTAAAATAATAGAGTTAGAGTTTACATTGCTTACACAATAATTTAGAATACCCAATAAGGCTACGTGAATGTTCCTTCTAAAAGAGCAAACATAAATCAAAGAAATAAACGAAAAGCAAATCACTAAACATCTTAGGACGACCTTCACCACCTTTTAAAGTGAGTTCAGGTGATGAACTATTTATAACCCTTTTGTTGATCGGGATATGGATCTTGATCCTCTTAATCTGAAAAAGTTAATGAATGGGTGAGCTACACTACCCTATTAAAAATATTACATTAATAACAGATACAAAAAATTAAAAATTGATAGAAATAAAAAAAAACAACCAATTGAACTCTTAATTTATAGTAAATTCATTTACTATAAATAAATCAATTTATTTCGTATTTATATAACAAGTCTCTCCCAATAATAACTTATAAAAACTCATATTCAAGCATTATTATTTATCACATAGAAGATAACAAAAAACGATCATTTTATATTTTTACCCGCTTACCGGTATTTTTGGGGGGTCTATAGGGATGTCCTCCTAGTTGTGAACATAATATCATATTAAACAGTTAATCGACCGTTCTCATACCCTGTCTGATATGGACACCAAACATGCCACCATCTCGATACTCCGTCTGGTATGATGATAAATCATATTTTTCAAACATTCCTAGTAAGGGACTTCCTAGCCCCGTCCGACTAGGATAACGTTCACGGCAGAGTTCCCTATGTACTGAGCTCGTCCGCTCTTTTTGGGTACCTTGTAAGTCTTTCCTATACAAATTTTTATCAACATAATAATCAGCTATACAATAACCATATCTCATTTTATACTCACCGTTCACTTAAATCGTAATACCCTAAATAAATTTTTAATGTAATTTAAGATTTATTTATAAATATAATTTCTTAATTTTTCAATTTTTAATTTTAATTTAGAGTAAAAAGGAAGAAAAATTGATGGAGAATTAAATTGAAAATAATTTTGGCGAAAAAGGGTGAAAATTTGGGTTCTTGAGGTATTTTTGAAAGAAAAATCGAAAACCGGGGGTCAAAATATAATTTAGAGAAATTTTACCACGTAGGATGCCCGGTCAGCAGTCCTGACGAATCAGAACACGCTGTGTGGCAGCAGACGTTGATGCGGTGCCACGTGGGAGGCCATGTAGGGGATCTGCGTGCCCGCGATCGAACGGCTTATATCCGTTCTTGCGCGTACGAACGGCCCGGATGCATTTTCTCCCCAAATGCAGTCGGACGGTTAGATTTGAATGCGATCGGACGGTTCAGATTAGATCGCGATGAACGGCCCAAATTAGATCGCGATGAACGATCTAGATTCACTTTTTATTTAATCGCGACCAGACGGTCCAGATCAAATGCGATGGATGACCCAGATCAAAAGTGGACAGATATAAATAATCTCATCCACACCAAACCCTAACCCTAGCCGCCAGACTCCCTTGTCGGAGAAGAAGATCCAGCCACCGAAAAGGAGACTGCCGCCATCCACCATCGCGCCGGAGCCCTTTTTGACCACCAAAAGATGTAAATATTTTTTTATTTGCTCAGAATTCAATTTTAAACACACTCATGACCAAATCGGAGCAAAAAAACCGGCTGATTGGTTGGAACACGTGGGCAAAGTCCGGCGATGCCGCCGCTGGAAATTTCACAAAACGCTTCCTATGAAGCCCTTCCTGGTTCCCGTTCTGTATAATGTTTCTACCGTTGTGATCATCGTTTCCTTCTCTACAGGTTGATTGGAGCAAAACACCCAACCGCAACATGAGCCAGAGGAGCCACCGCACCAGAGAGCCCCGCCGCCGGTGAATTTCGATTTTTTTATGTTTTTTGGGCCAACCGAGTCCCCTTAACATGTTTTCTCACAGGGATTGATGTGAAATCAGCTGAATTCAGCCGAAAACGACTGAAAATTGCCGACCCAAGGTGGATCGCCGTCGGCTGTCGCTGGAGCACTGCGGAGCTGCCGTGCCAGAATTCCAAAATTTGTCAAAATGGGCCCTGAGAATGATTTAAGATTTGTTTGGAAAATTTATAGGTACTTATAGCATGTGTTGATTCCTAAAGAAAAATTCAGGGAACCCGGGGACCGCCAATGGGCACAGTTAACAGTTTAGCCTTTCGGGTATTAAATTGAGTAAGAATCCCTCACCTTATTCCCTGTTATGGAATTGAAGTTTAATTTTAAATAATATAGTATTTCATAAAACTTAGAAAATATCTATAATTAATTACGAGTTACTAATGGAGTCAGAACCAGAAACTATTCTCTATTGATTTCTGTCTATTTATTTTACAGTTTGAATGC